GTCTGCCACGCCTCCTTCTGCCTGTTACATACTTTTAACAAAACCATTATACCCTGATTTCCCATTTTCAATGGGTTCAGGGTATAAAAACAAAATTAAACAATTTTATATGGAGTCAATATTTATGCAGGGCCAGCAACAGCTGCCTCTAAAAAGAGGGGCACGTTGTACGTTGCATGAAACGTGTTGCACAGCAGACGGCCCTAAGACCAGAGACTAGAAAAACGGGTTGCAACAAGAAAATATGAGAATGATAAAGCGAAAATAACCACAAAGCAGTGGAGGAAGAGCCAATGGAAGACAAAAGCCGGACGATGAAAACGGAGTGGCTGGGGGTGGCTGGAGGCAGTGTAAGTGGATCATATGGAAGTGCAGAATATTGGGGCGTGTGGAACCCTATTGGCCCAATCAAACAAATGCGAGATAGAATTCCATAACCTAAACTAAATAACCAAAAGTATTTAGCAGCTAAGAGCTACAAACTTGGCAATGGCTTAAAGCCACAGATGGAGTGATTTATAAATTGTACCAGTATATATAGATGTATACGTATACATATATGTATACAGATGCATGCCTATATAGAGGTTGCTTTTACCGCCCACATACGTGCTAATAATTAGCGCAAGTTAGCAGGCGACGTAAAGAAATGGAACAGACAGCACGCAAATAAAGTCCAGATACAAATGCAGATATAGATACAGCAGAATCTCTTTGGAACGAACAGCTACGCCTGCTATTTGCTGCATTTAAATGTCATAGGAAAACCTTATCCGATGAGTTGAGTTCGCGATAGAAGTAAACTTCCTAACAGAGGGGAAGCTAGTGTTCGCTGTACACAGCTACATATCGTAGACGGCTACAGATACAGTTACGCTTGCATACACAATGTAAAGATTCAGATACTCGGTACAGAAATAGATACAGTTACTTGCACAATGCAAAGATACAGATACAGAAGCAGCACAACTAAACTCACGTGTCTATTAGGGCCTGTGTAAATCTGGAAATTGACACTGCTCTATAAACAAAGATTTCCGGCTCTGCTAATCAAGCTGAAATATATAAATATATACCTATTTATAAATATATAAATATATACCTATTTAGGCATATATAGAAATGTATATGCTGAACATGAGGAAACGGATACGAACTGAGCTGCGTATTGAGCGGGGCTTGGCGCACTTGATACGCGTGTGAAAGACAAACAAAACAAATATAAGAAAATAAAGTAAATACTAAAGCAGAGCTATGTGGCAAGAACTACCCAACAATGGGATATAACAAAACAAAAACTAGAACTGGAACATAAACTGTATTTCTTGTTCTTTTGTTCTTCTTGGCGGGTCAACTAAAGAAAGCTATCGGAATCAATAAATACTCTGAGCTCGCGCCCAGCCTTTAGTATATCAGCGTATAATCAGCTTAATAGGAATGCGAAATCGTCGACATTTAATATATTCTATGACGCATTCACTTCCCCACGATCGTTTAGTATAATTGAGAGGAGATTTACATGCAATAAGAATTCCTGTAAAACGCGCAAATTATGCAAATAAAATCGAAAAAAAAAATATATATTTTATTAATTTACTATACTCACACAAAAACAAATACATATTTTTACTTCTTGTTATTGCAAGTCATAGCCAAAAAAAAAAAAAATTACGAAATTTAAGATACATTAAATAAGAATTTAAACAAATTTTGTGTATAATATTTTAAATAACATTTGTTTGACATATATAAATGTTGTTATCTAAAATAACTATTATTAAAACGAAAAATATTAATAGCTCAAATGTGTAATATACACAATAAGTTACAAAAAATAATATAACACAAGAAATTTAAGCAAACATATAACTTCTGAAATTCAAAGAAGATAAGAAAAGAATTTACTACTTATAATCTATTTCTAGTTTCTAAAGACAGAGATAAGTAAGAGCCGCAAGGTAGGGAAATAATAGAGAATACAACGCCAATGAACATATGAAATGAGATCAGAAGAAGTAAAGCCATGTTTAATAGACAATTAGAGTCAATATTTTAGTTATTTTTACATTAATTTATTAGTGACATTTTATAATTGAGTTTCAATTACAGTTCCTATAGAATATCCACAAGAATTATGCTCACGAAGCAACCTGACTATACCATCTCAGAGCTGGGCTGTCCGCAGCTCCAAGAGCAGCTCTGCTCCGATAGCTGCTTTACGAAACCTCGCCTACAAGAGCCCTGCTTTCGTCACAGTCCCAGTCTGACCCCTGGTCGGAGTCCGAGTCGTCTATTGCCGTTACGCGAAACGCTGGACGATTACAACAAGCGACTGCTAAGTGAGCAGGCGGCGAGCTGTGAAACAAGTCGACAACAACAACACTGGGAGCCGAATGATAAATTGGCACAGCAGAAAAGGCAGAAGAATCTGAGAAACGAGCAGCAGCAGAAGCAACAACAGCAACTACAGTGGAACAGAACGAGGTAAAACCAGTCATACATTCTAGAGTATCAAGGCTTCACTCTTTAATTATATCATTTCTCTGCTCTCTCATTCGTTATCAACAGCAATCAGAAAGGTCGAGATATAGCACAAGTAAAACGAACAACGTTGCTAACTTGCGATTTGAATAGCTTCTGATAACACTGAGGGGAGGAGTCGCATTGGAGGTGGAGCTTGAGAGCTGAACTACAATAATTTAAGGACTGATTAAACGTGCTAAATTTATTATTAAACACTGTACACACACATTTTTCGTATAGATCATTAAGCTAGTTCTAAGTAAATCAAATATGCAATAACATTTATCATTTTATTGCATGCCACGCAAATCTTTTAACTTTTTAAATGGAATTTCAACGGCTCATTAAAAATGTAAACGGGCTATGGCAACGGGCACTGTTCAGATACAGATACAACTATGAGTATGCGGCTATACAGACACAGAAACAGATAAAGCTTTATACACGCAGCTACAGCTACACGAGCTTCAGATACAAATTCGAATTCAACCAAAACGTAAACAAAACAAAAGCGAAAAAAAAACACACACACACACAAATTAAAGAGCCAAAAATGGCGACGACTCTACGGGCGTCCAACCTTGATCATGAGCATGTCACAGCCAAGGGGCGACAGTCTAGGGGCGTGGCGGGCGGCCCATTAAATTAGCGTTTTCGGACGTGCTCTCTTTAAATGGCTTAAATTGTGCACACAAGCCGTGTGTCAACTGAAGTCTCGGGAAACGCTAGAGATTTGGGCGAAGAGACGACAAATTATATGCTCTAAAAAAGGCAAGCTCACTGAATACTTTATCATTTAATAATAATGTATACAAATTGATTAAAGAGCATTTCTAATCAAAGAGCTCAAATTAATAATTTAGCTATAACCACTAACTGTGTTGTCTGGTTAGTGCTATAACTAAATGATCTCCCTCTTCTCCGACTTCGATAGGATATTTGATTAAAGTATGTCTGACCATCAGGTTATTATTATTGATCAGCATATCATATAGATTCATTACCAGATCTGATTCATCAGATTTCATTACTATAACTGATGATCAAAGTGAATATATGAACAAGTAAGAACGCTGTAGTCTTGTCGATGGACTATCTTCATTAAACTTGTGGATCATGATTATAAGATGGATATGCATGTGTTTGCCGAAACAAAAATCTCTAGTACTTGAAATGCACCTCTTACATACTTAGAGGAAAGGGGCTGGATATAGGGGTGGAGGTGAATTACAACAAAACCGAAATTCGAAAATTAGATGTTTATCTACATTTAAAAATTGCAGACTCTACCTTCAGGGTGTAGGAGATATAATTAAATTACTGATTTTCGATATTGTTTGAATCGATAACAAAATAACGGGACAAATGATCGATTTTTAAAGAAAAGATCAACAAGTGCGTGGTATACACGAACCTAAAAAACAAATTTCAAGTCTCTATCTCTTATATCTTCTGAGATCGACGCGTTCAAACATACGAACCGACTGACAGGGCTAATTTGACTTAGCTCGTCGTCCTGATCCACCTGATCAAGAATATATGTACATATATGATTTGTGGGGTCTGCAATGACTCCGTCTGCCTGTTACATATATTTTCATGATATAACAATAAGCTTTTGGTAAAGTTATCAAGAGCTTATAAAAGTTATTGTAGTGCATAATTTGACCAATTATAATGAATATAGAAAATGTGTGTTATAAACTAAATTGCCTGTGAACATGGCGGCAATTCAGTTAAAGTTTAAGGTTTGGCATATCATGATAGGTAGATGATCTAAATAGGTAGATTTTTGAGAAAATTGCAGGGTCTAGAATATTTTATGACGAAAGTGAACGAAATACCAATGTTTAAGTACATAAGAAAGCAGACTGCCGATCCCTGTATACATAAGTTTTATTAAATATATGATATGCAGTCGAAAAAGAGTTGTACTAAAACCTGGCAATTATAAAACCGTCTCATTGAACTCACCTGAATAGATTGTCGGAAATGAGCAAAGTCTCAATAGCTTGCGCCTCTGCAGCACGCAGCACATGCTTTTTGCCATAGAAAGCCTTGGTTGGCTCACATTGTAGCATCATGTAGAACGTCTCTAATGCCTTAACCTCACCTAAGGCTTTTGTGTCAGACATTTTAGCTATCACAGCGGGATCCTGTAGAACCTCTGTGAATATAGGTTTTACTGCATATTCGGCTTTCAATAGTTCGATAATGGCTTACGCACCTTTGAGCGAATGCTTAAACCCGGAGGATGCATGGACTAGCATGAATCTGCTTTTGTTCTCCAACAACACTTTGTAGTCCATTTTGACCGCCTGCTGGAACATATAGTCGTAAAACTGGTCTCGCACGAAGCCCGGAGAGGCAATGAGCACACACTTGACTACGTCGAAGTTGACGTGGCGTAATATACTCTGCATGACTTGTTCGTAGAACTTGGCCAGGCCCTTTTCGTGCTGTTGCACATTGCCCTTGCGCTTACGCGGAATAGACACTTCGATTTTGCTTCGCACTAGCGTCATGCTGGCCGTGATGAGGCAGACATGGGCTAATCCCTCCTGCATAACAACCGCCGCAACATCAGCCGATTGGGTGGGATCGCAGGCCATATCAATCCGCTCAAGAGCGATTGTATCCCACTCCGGTTTACGTAGCTCAAATTTGCGATTCAGCTCCAGATCGAGCGTATGATAGGCGCCCATTTTAACATATTGATTCTCCTCAATGTTGCGACCCTTCAGACGCAGCACACAGGCTTGCGTGTCAAAGTCGATGCTCTCCACGGCAATCGTCAGGGTGGTGCGCACTCGGCTGCTGGTGGATGATCCGGTGGCTGTTTCATTCTGTACCTTTCGTATGGTTGTGCTACGGACGCTATCACCCTCAGCAATCAGATTGTAGGCGTGCCACATGTCCTCCGGCTCCTCGGGCACGAGAGTTACATTACTGCATTGTGGAATGACATTACAAAGTTTTCTTTACATATACGAACATTAATATCAGTAGTACTTACCCCTGCATGCCCTTGTCTACATATTTTCCAAGCAACTTCATGTTGCAATCCTTGTTTTTCGAACTGAGCCTCCGTCGTCTGTTACCAGCAGACGTTGAATTACTGTGCTGCTCTTATATTTGTTGTTGCTGGCGTTGCGTGCTTTATGTTTTTTGCTTTTGTATGCTTTTTGTCACTTGCATTGAATTAAATGTTTCCTTAAGTAAATCGAATTGTTAGGCATTGTTATTATTTGTGTGTTTGTCGTTGAACCTGACCAACAAATTATTTCAATGAAAATTGCCAAATTCCACACGGCGAACTTTTTGACATTTTATAACAGCTGTTCGACTAGTGTTGCAAAATGGTTGTAGACCACACCATGCGCTCAACTATCGAACCGACAGTTGTTCAATTTTGTCAAAAACAATGTTTTTAAAAATATGTTTTCTTTATTATTGATACAGTTTATATATTTGTACGCATTTCAAGAATCATCTTTTAACTTAAACTAACAGCCTTTCGATTTCTTGCTGTATGGATGTAATCTGCGATTTCAGCTGACTGCCCTCGTTGGTGGTTACAGAGCAGGCCACAATAGGACGGGAAACACCGCAGGCACGGCCCAATGCCTGCTTGGAGCGCACAAACACATACGGCACATTCTTGTCCTCACAGAGCAGCGGCAGATGCAACAAAATCTCAATTGGCTCTGTATCCCCTGCCAGCACCACAATATCAGCCAGACCACGATTCAGTGTTTTGGTGGCCTCGTTAGCACCCTTCCTCAACTGATTATAGTTGAGCGCCTGTTGCAGCAAATTCATAATCTTGGCCGTCAACTGGGCATCGGCCAAGGGGAATGCTTTCGGGTTTACCTCTTCGGTCTGTATATAATTTATGTTTGCATTAGTGAAACATGTCTTATTAATAATATTTATATTCACAAACATACCATTTTTTAAGTTTTTTTCTTTATATTTGTAAAAATTTAAATGCAACCTCTCGGCTTGTGTGCTTCACTGAGGGGCAGAGTTAAGAATGAAATTTTATAGAAACACGTGCGCTGTCGATTTCTTGTGCATCTTACCAACACTGAAAATGTGGGATATTTTGAGCAAGTGGCAACGCTACGTATATATACCGATAAGCCATGCTTGTTATCGTTTTACTTAAGCGCCAAATCACTGACCAGTTTGGTCAGTGGCCAAATATAAACGAAAAAGGCGTTGCTTATCTGTACTGTAAACCAAATTTCTGTTGGCCCAAATTTAAACTAGTAATTGATGTAGATAACTATATTGAGGTTCGAATGCCCCCTCACTTAACGTATGTAATATGTAATCGAAATTGATTTCCAAGATTCTAAAACGAGATTTTATCCCACAACTAAATCGGGAGGTGATATCGATCTTTGTGAAGCTAATAGTATAATCATAGTATATTGATCCAGTGTAAATAATGGGCGAAGCTCCTTCATTGCACTAGCCTCAATAGTAACAATTCACTAACAAAAACTACATCATGAATCAATTTCACTTAAAATCCATTCGTTGTTTATTGTGATTCTTAAATGTGAAGCACAATTTCAAACTATTTAAACAAGCACACACGCCAGTATTAATCCCGCTCAAAACAAAACACAATTAGGCGAATCGTACGTTAAATACAAAGGGAATTCTCACTTTTTATTACCAATTCATCTCGCATACAATTTATTTAGAAGTTCCTGCAAGTAAAAAGAAACAAGTTATCGAATTGGCTAAACGGACGTATTAAACAGCAACAACTTACTTGGTAATGAGACCATCCTTCTTGGCCAGACGCACAATGCAATCGTCGGACTCGCCCATGCGACGGATTTCTCCGCAAATAGCATAAGTTTTGGTTCCGTCGGTTTGGCGACCGGTTTCAGGATCCACACAAACAATGCTCAGTTGCACAGAGGCGTGATCCTTAGCATGAATGATTCTGTTTGATGCCGAGCTGCAACAACACCAAAAATTATCTAATTGCCAAAAATCCGGCTGCAATTGATTTGCTGTTGGTCGTGGAAACACGTGTTCAATACTCACCACTTGCGGGGCACGTACAAATCAACATTCTCACCGGCGTCGTTCTCCATTGTGCTGCAACCAAAAGTAAAACATATTATTAGTATTTTAAAAAGTGCTTTCATTTGTGTAAACTATATTTGACGTACATTTTGTAATATTTTACAAATTAGCGACCCAACACTCGTCAATGGAGGCTGAAAAGAGAAAGAGTGAAGTTGGCTGCGCTACAGGGTTGCAAAACTATCGATACAAAATTCAGCATAAATATTCTTTATGGAGTTTTATTTAATTTTAACCTTTTTTTTTATTTTGCGAAAAGAAAAACAACTGTTTAATTTTTTCCGTTTGAATATATATCAGTAACCGTATATATGGTCATGTATTTACGTATTTAAGCTATTTATTTTGGTTGCATACTTAAACCACTTCGGTATTAACATTGGTTAGTGGTATTAATTTAAGCCACTGACCAGTGTTTAAGCTACAGAAATTCAAGGGTTTAAAGTAGTTTCTTTATAAATAATATAAATTTCCATTCAAAAAAATTGGGTGCTGTGGAGGCTATCGATGTTCCTTATCGAATGTATCGATTTCTCAAAAGCCTTTCATAAATATTTATTAGTCGTTTGGCAATGTGAAAGAGAAGTGCTGTGTTGCATCAAATTTGGCGCCGGAGCTTTCACGGCCTCAGCGCCCATTGCTAAATCGGTAGCTATTCAACTATAGTGTTGTATCGATAGAGTAGAATAATTAAATTAGTCGCAAAGTGTTTGTGTTAATTATAAATTGGATACAAGTGAACGCGCCCACTGGTTACTTTAAATGTAAGTATTGATTTTAGACAGAGGCTGTGGCGTCGGCGTCCTTGATCCAGTGTCAGCGCTGATTTTCCCCTCAATGAGGCTTCCGCAGGACTTTTTCGCTACTTTCTGTGTATTTTTAAACGTATGTACATATGTGCGTGGGTGAGTTTTTATGGGTGTCTGAGTGCATGAGTTTGTTATTATTGCGAATCAACGCGTCTGGCAAACTTCTATATATGCTTGAGTTCATGTTTCGCCGTGTGCGAAAGTAACTTTTAATAGTTTATTCGCTTTTTCAAGTGGCTGAATAAAATTTAATGACCCTTAAATCCGTCCTAGTTATAGACAATACTTAAAATACTATTATAAAGATTTATATTTGAAAGCCTTTAGTAGGATGATTCAAAACTGGAAAATTTAACCGTTTTTTTCGGTTAACATTAAACTACGATTGATGAGAACTTGCAAATGCGTAACATAACCAAATGAGTGTGAGATCTGTTTGTTTAGTTAATTACCATTACTATTGTTGTTGTTTCTGCAGTTGCATAATTAGGACAAATACTGTCTATAATAAAATAATGAACTTACGCATCAACGACTAGTATTATCATACAATCAAATTCAAATTAACAACAGTTTGGTTGCAATATCCTTAAGCTGGCAATTTTAACCGTTAAATTGACTGTTTTTTTTTTATTAGTTAGATAGTAACTAAGTCCCGCAAGTTACTTGGCACAAAAAAGCTTTAATAATTTAAGATTATTTTTATCAGAGCGAAGCTGGTTCTACAGTACAACTATTTGCCATGCCCGCTCAGTTGGCTTTCAACTTTCGGTTCGTTCGGTTGGTTCACGCGGCTTGCTCTACCAAAGCTTGTGCGGCGTGGTTGACATACATATGTATGTACATCCACAGACATACATACATATGTGTGTAGTAGGTGCTCTGCGGCACGTTGCAGTCGAAAATATCTGGAAGACAGTTCATAAGGCGCCGGCGGACAGCCTCTTGACCTTTAGCGCGAATGTGTGTGAGATTTTTTGCATATTGTAGTAAACGTGAAATATGTAAATTTAAATGTAACTTTATGCGCTAAAAATGAGATCATTTAGCTAACGTGTGATGCTATTTATAAATTATATATAAAAAGAAAACATCATTGAGAAAAATATAATACAAAATTGTCGTGCAGGAAAATGAAAGTGAAACTAATTGTAGGTAAACACACTTAATTAGCTTCAAATGAATATGCATAAAATGCAATAGTTTTTTGTTAGAAAATAATCAGATGTATGCGTGGCTGTGAGTTGGCTTATAATTAGAGAGTACAATGTTATTTTTGCTGACCACACCGACGGCGTTATGAATTTGGGTAAACAAAACCATAGTAATTGTTGGCATAGCTATCGAATCAACAGCTTGTTAAGAGCTGTCAGCGGAAATCATGTATTATATCAAGTACTTATCGCGGTGTAGATAAACCAAGAAAAACAATTTATTATAGCCCGAAAATAGATTAACGAACGAAATTACTTCGTTAGATCTAGTGATACTAGGATAACTACGAAATTGTATTAGGAATTTGTTCTGTAAATATGACAACAAATAGTCAACTAAAATGATATCAGCCAAGTCCCAAAAAGCCGGAACTTTATGAATAGCTTTTTATAAATACAGTGTTATGTTAAATATACGATAATGATATATATCTCATCGGAAAAGTTATTTTTCAATCTACAATTTAGCATTAAAATTTTTTAAATTTCAATAAATATTTTATTTGTCATAGTTTGAAGTTGAAATGATTAGCTCAGCAGAATCAGTGATTAATATTATAGTAAATGATGCTCTGATTACAAAGAGAACGCGCGACTATATATTCCAATTTAAGATGTGCAAAATACGTAGCCTGTGCTTACACAAATAGAAAGGGATATAACCAAATACCTTATTTTCTCTTCGGGAGCATATGAATATAAGCAAAGACAAAAAACTATGCCTCCAAAAGAGACTAATATCAAAAGAAAAACTCAGAACGCGTAAAGTAAAAAGTAATTAAACTGAGCCCACATTTGCAGTTAGAATCTGATATTCCCGCGTATGAAGAAATAAAATAGAAGAACAGTACGGCCTCGTTAACGCATACACCTGCTACGCATACACGCATACACCTGCTGCTCTATACCGTTACCTCTTTTGTTCATTTCGAAATATCTAATCTGTGTTTGATTTTTATTAACTTGAATAATTTTAATTTCAAAATGTGTTCAATAAATTAATCAGAATTTGCCCGTGATAGCGAAGCTTCACTGTACATCTTAAAAAACCGTGATGTCAGCACCAAAATGCGTGCCTGCTGCGCCGCATGTTGTTGATGACGTCTAAGAGTTCATGTAGAAAACTTTAAGTAAAGCACTTTCTAGGTCAAAAGTTGAAAGGCAACGAGTCACTGATGATGATGCTTGTAGCTAGAAAAAGTAACATCAAAAGAGAGATGAAAACAAAACCAAAATGTGGTCTGCCTGAGAAGCAAACAAACCACGAAACAAAGTAAATGTGCTGGCAGACAGGTCCATTGCCCCTGCTCTGTTTAGGCCCGGGCCCGGCCAGGCCCACCTGTCAGTTGTCGATAGGAAAATTGTAAAATTAAATAAAATAATTGCAACATAAATTAGCCGCAACATGCAAAGTCTTAGAAAATTGCAGGGCAATAAATGAAATTAAAGATAATTGCAGTGCATTTAACTAAGCTGAAGTAACTAAGAAATTGACGTCAATGCATTTAGTATAGACGATTGCAATGCCAATGAAGATGTTCTCAGTGGGCAAAGAAATGCAACTACTGCAGTAGAGTAAATCATTTCTTTAGTGCTTTCAAATTTTGTTTATATAGATTGAAAATGAGAGTTCAAGGTATTATTTTTTTGCTAAAATAAACCTATAGATAACATTTATAGGCCAGCTCAGATGTTCGTAGTCATGCCTGTCTGTGGGTCGGCATATCCATCATTTTGTCGTCCATGGCATGCCAAGGCCTAAGTCAGCTGAAATTTCGCACACTCAAATCGACATCTCCAAATATGTAATGAGAAATTCTGGAATGTATCTAACAGCAGCTAGTCAGATTCGATTCGAGCACGAGGACTTTGTATTTCTTAAAAATATAAAATAATTTAATTTGTAGGATTAGATTGCTGCACTAGATTATGGCATATTTTATTAATTTTAAGAGTTACGAGTTGAGAAATAACAGCATACTCTAGCTCCTTTCTAACAGCTCCACTTTCTTTTAAGTCTATGCTAATTGTATTATATTTGTCAAAAAGAGTTTAACAATTCAAAATTGTGCATTTATCCACTTGAATGTACTAAAATAGTTGTGCAAACTTTTATCTGAATCCCAAATATTTGATTTAAGCGAATTCCTTGCAATACGAATGCTAAATTCTAGTGAGCTCAGAGCGGAGCGATAAAATTTTAAGCTGCCTACAATCAGTTAGTCACTTTATTAATTAGTAATACTGAGCGGTGCAAGATTGCTTATCAGCTGGTCTATTCAGGACATTTGATTACATAGAGCAAATGGGGCTAACTGATTTCTTTAGACACCAGGTCTTCTTTAAAATGCTTCTTACAATATACTCATACAGTGGGTCTGCTCTGTTATTATAGTCTTCGCTCTAATTTGATTGCAGTTCCATGACACTTAATTCCCAAGAATCAACTGTCTATTCTGTTCACTCTCGCTGCTCAATAATTATTTAAGGACCTACTATAATTAGATCCTTTGGGCGACCACTTGTTTGCAATTGCATGCCAATTTCGTTCTTTTCTTGCCTATTCCCTTTTGTGTTTTGGAGAGACTTGCTGGTTGGAAAACCTGTCGTTTGCCAGATAGTCCTCACGTTCCACTGCATCTCCATCTTCTGCATAGGAGCCCAGCTAACTGTGCTGCTTTATTTTGATGTGCTCCTCATTTGGCTAGCTTGGCTTTTCCAATTTTCTTATTTATTTTTCTTCAATTCTATTTCTTTTCTTCCTCTTTTGCAGCGCTTGAACTTGGCAAACTTTGGAACTGACGGGTCGACGGGTCTGTCGGGCGGTTCGTCGATGATGGTCTCTGGTGTTGTTGTTGTTGCTGCTATTGTTGTGATTTGATTGGTGCCAGTTACTGTTACTATTGTTGCTGTTGTTGTTGCTGCGCTATTACTGTTAACTAGAAGTTGTTGGTGCTGTTTTCTGGTGCTCGACCTGCAGCTGGAGTTGGAGTTGAAGTTTGAGCTGGTGCTGTAGCTGGAGCGACTGCGTTACACTTTGTAAATCGGTCAATGGTAACGGGCTTGTAAGCAGGTGCAACTGCAACTGACAAAGAGAGAGAAAGAGAGAGAGCCGCAGCCAGAGAGGAAGAGTTAAATAAAACCAGTGAGAGGAGACTGCAATCAAAACATGTCACTAAAGGTGAGTTTGACCTATAAAAAGTTGCTAGCCGGTAAGTGTGCAGTCATTCGGCGGCTAGTCTATGGGGCATAAGCTATAAGGAACGTAAATATAAAATATATATAAATATGAAAATTTAATATAAGAGATTATTAGAACATATCAGTTCATCGATTAGACAATTGATGAATGGTAGGTGGATAAGTAGTATACTGACCTAATTAATTGATTAATTCACTAAACAATAGTCTAATGCACTTCATTTTGTTTTCAGCCCTTCAGCTATTTAGTCAAGGCCATTTGAATGTATAGAATACACCTATAATTAGTAAAACATATATTCAAACTAAAATGTCTATTATTATGGTTCCAGAAAATAATGAAAAAATACTCTTTAAAAATAATTGAAGGTCTAACATGTAAATTCTTCAAAATGTAACGATTCTACATTAACAAAAAGTCTGTTGAGCGCGTAATATTATTAATAATTGTAGAAAATTATTGATATTATTTACGAAAAAAGCCAAATATACCATGAAGGAAACACTTTAAAAACGGCGTGAAGATCTGTCCTATGAAAGGATAAGAGCTTATCGAAAAAATCTAATTTGAATATTATTATATTATTATCTACAGAAGTTTCCTCAAAAAGGTCGACTTTTCAGTCTCCAAAACTTATAAATAGCTTTATTCAAGATTACGCTTATCGTCTGGCAAGGGTATGTGGTTCATCTAGTACTCGTTGTTTATCTACTAGATTGTTGCCCAACCACAAACGAAGGAAACAAGCTAATAGACCATCGCCATGCATCAATAAAATATATAATTAATACCTATAGAGCTCATTACTTCGCTACTAAAACACTGGTGGTAGGGAGAGGTGGGATACATAATCCTATATAAATGTATAAATAAATTCGAGTATCAGCAATAATTAACTATCTTTGGGATATTCAAGAATAGTTTTTCACTATATTTCTCATCAGCTTTAATGGCTCATAGAGCATCACACAGTCTGCTATAACTTACTTACAGTTACTTGCTTACTCGATTGTAGATTATTATTATTAGCATATATACTTTACCTTCTGTCATTAGCCAAGCTGATAAGGCGATACAATAAGCCACAAGTAGTCATTATTTCTTGTCTCTTATAAAGCATTTGCCTCTTCCATGCCCAATAGAATTATTCTCCTAGACCTCAAGTTTATTTTGTGCCAATAGATTCCAATAAATTGGTTGCTTTAAGTTGCTTAGTTATAGCTCCACATCTCTGAAGAGATTATGCTATGCAAAGAGCATTTCTTTTCATCTATCACATCCGACAGCAGTGCAATGTACTCACTTATTTGTCTGGCTTTCAGTTCTTAGACTTCGCTCTGCTTTAATTTAAGCCCAATAAAATGGCATTAGTCAAGCTGATAAAGCGAGTGAATATATTATACTTGACTGTAATTGCAGAAATATCAAGTCAACGGCCCAGTCACAGCCACTTGTCACACTCACACACATATACAGTCAGGTCTGTGGCACAATCGTGTTGCAAGACGTGTCTAGTGCTTGTCTGAAGACTAACAAGTGCTTCTCTCACCTGCTGACATTTTGGCCTGTCTATAAATATTGCAAGCATCATCATTATCATCAGCGCGCCGTCATCATTATTATGCCAGCATTTGCATTGTTGCCACACTCTGTGGCAGCTTGAGTGATGTCATGTGCCACTTGGCCGTCCGTCTGTATTGCCTTTGTTGTCTGCGCTCAACAGGTGCCTCGCTGCCCCTCGCCTAATGCGCTTCATTTACTCACGAGTGGACAGTCTAAGTCTCAGTGTCTATTTAAATAGTTCAAATATTTATTGTACGCTTATTTCCTCTCTTCACACACATTTGCGAACAGCACATCAGCTAAACCCCGACATTAGCGCTGTCGAGTGAGTCTTAACCCTTAGGTGTGCTAGTCGCAAAGAGCTCTCTAAATAAATAATACTCAAAGGTTGACTGATTTGTGCTTTGAACTGAAATGTGTCATGTCAATTTTGCAGAATTTAAGTTGTCATTTCAAGATGCTAAAAATAAAGCTGAAATTTCGAATGTAGATCCGCGTCGACCACCCAAGATAACCTCGAGTTTTACAGCTAGAAGGTTGAATTGTGCACGTAAGCTAACGTTATGATTCTATAAAGATTAATGACCAATTTATATGTCATTTTTGAGTGTAAGTTAGCTCGTTCTAAAAACTGGCCAAAAATGAGATGACTACGCCCAGTAGGGGCGTGGCAAAGCGTGAATTTTCCACAGTACTAGAGCTAGAGTTAGAAACTCAGAACATAGCTACTAAATTGCTACTGCAACGTTCTTACTTCTTTTTGTATATTAAATAAAAACGTAACAAACGTTTTCTTTCAAATTTATATAACAGTTTATATAATTGATTGATTTGTTGAGGAGACCAATAAAAAGGCTATACAATATATATAAAAAAAACTATTAAAAATAAAAATAAAATATATATTGTTATATTTACAAATGGTATACCTAATTTATACACCTGATATAAAGCAAAATTCGGTAGTCGAAAATTAAATATATATATTTTTGAGATTTTTGAAGTAAAATATGAAAACGTTGCCCATTAATGTTAACATTGTGAATTGTGATTTGGATGTAAATTATGTTTTTATGGTTTAATATTTCATCACCACAAAATATCTCAATCGACAGTTAACATTTGTAGTCGTCTACTTCATCTACTTCTAAAGCAAGGCTCAGATAATACAACTAATGCAGTACATCCATCTAAGGGTTAACATATATTGTCTGGTTGTCAAAGCGTCCGCAAAGCATTGTAAAAATGCATCAACATCCGCTGGTCGAAGTTTCCCAGCTCGTTTTGCTGTTATTCGTCTTGCTGAGCCCCTCTGGCCACTAATTACTTTAATTAGCTGTGTGGGGAAACTAATTTCCTAAATAAATGTTACTTGGGAGCTGCTGTGTGGGTGAACTCCGAATCGAGCGGCGGCATCATTAGTCAACGAGTGCCTTCTTTTTGACAGCTGCCCAAGTTAAAGTTGTTAATCAGTTTGTTTATGTTTATCTCTCTTTCGATTCGGAACTTATCTTACAGAAGGAAACACCCTCAGATGTGATGCTGCATCTAGCGGCGTTGCGAGGCGACGTTGTCGAGATGCGCCGTGTGCTCGATACTGGCAAAGTGCATGTCGACTGCAAAGATGAGGTGAGTAATGAGAACTAAGATAAACGAGGTACAGCAGGAAATGAAGATGAATGTGTCTAAGACTTGGCCATAGAAGCTAATCTAGAGTATTCCAAATATCCGCTTGGCTGAGCCGAATGCGACGATCTGGCTCCTAGAGTTGGCATATATAGAAGGAATGTGAAATTGTCATGTATACTAGTGGAAGATAATCTGGAATATCTGTTTATTAGAGACATGTTGACGTTTGTCGATAGATATAATAGGAGTAAGGGGAACAGCGATGATCGAGAGTCTTTTGTTTAGAAATTTGCAATGCAAGCAAAAATATTATGCTCCCAATCACCTGAAAGTTAGTGAAACAGAAAATCTTGTTAATTTAATGAACAGTTTTTAAATTATATAATTGATATATCATTAACTTAACTGCTTAAATGCATGAGATAAATTCATTGCCAGCTGGTTGAATTATTTAATTGAGCGTCCAATGAATTTAACTGCAATTGCGAATAGATTTCACTAGCCAAAGCGAAATTCAAATTATATCGTTTGGTTTTTTTATACCCTCTATTCAGTTGAAATGCACGTCTATTGTGCTATGATAGTCAAGAGGAACAGTTATTTTTGTAATGTTTATACAGCGAAAAGACAATATCTTTTGGTTTACTTTGAATGAATATAAATTTACCTATATCAAATTTAAGCATTTGGTTAGATGTAAGGATTTTTATTAGGTTTTCTAATATTTAAATAAATATCTAATATGTGTAGAGTTTTTCACAGTACTTATATGCACCGAGAAGAAATAGACCTGTTCAGATTAGAATAGATTTACAATCTAGGAGAAACCGAAAAAATATATCTTGTTTTATTCACTAATGTGAAATATTCCCATAAACTTTGCTATTCTCTGTATATATATTTTCAGGCAATTGTAGCAGGATTTTTCGTTAGTAGTAGTAGTACATTGTACATTGTTCTCTGCTGATATTTTATAAATAGAGCTACATCCAGATTCTTGTAGGGTAGCTATCAGTCTATATATGTACGCCTCGATTTCGTTGCTTTTCGTTTCATTTCGTGGCGATTTGCATGCGTGCAGCTGAGCGAAATCGGAGCGAAAATCACAAATCTCTGTCCGAGCTGTAGGTTGCAATTGCAGCTGCCCCTTTGGGGTAGCACAGTCACGTAACGGGGTGTTGGGGCGTGATTGCCCTTGTGCGTTGTTTGAGGCCAACTGACCAGGCTTGGCCGACTATGCTTTGGAATTTGCCTGCCGCTCATTCAGCAAAGTGCGCTTCAAGTGAAATTTTATTTTTATTTAATTTCAATTTTTTCTGCATTTGTTTTCTTTGCCAATTGGTGCGTGCATTTGTAAGCAACGTGTTAATTTGTCTTTGAAGTGAACATAAGTGTTTAAATATATATATGTATGTGTACATGTATATATTTTTTTTGTTCGTTAGCTGAAAATGTTGTAATATGTATTTTGCAAACGATTTCATGCTTTAGTAGATTAGCTCCCAATCGTGAACAGGTCACATAATATAATTTTGTGTCACATTTCCTTAGCGTATCCTTTCCTATTTTGGCTAATTATATCGTGAGCCCATTGAAAATACGGGATCACGGTATAATGGTTTTGCTAAAAGTATGTAACAGACAGAAAGAGGCGTGGCAGACTCCACAAAGTATATATATATTCTCAGGGCGACGAGTTGAGTCGATTTAGCCCTCTCCGTCTGTCTGTCCGTCCGTATGTATGATCGCGTCGACCTCAGGTCCGGTTATATCACGCGCATATATAGAGTTGTTCTCTAAAAATCGATAGCTGCTCCCGATTTTTTATGATCGATTATCGAAAGCTAGTTATTTAATTATGTCTTCTACACCTTTAAGTTAGAGCTTCCAAATTGTAGATGTAGACTTATATGTATTTTATATAATTTCGATTTTTGTTGTACTTTACCCCCCACCCCTATATCCACCCCCTCACCACCAGTATTTAAAGTACTAGAGACTTGTGCTTTGGCATATACTCGCCCTTTAATATTATAATAACGACTTGAAAGTTTCATGATCATAGTTTTTCTGTGTGTTAGTGTGTGTGTTTCTTGTGTAAGCAGAGCTTTTGTGAAATATCTTCGAAGGGTTCAGGGGATTTCGTAGTCGAGCAGTCTCGACTAGAGGTTTTTAGTTACACAAAAATTATTTTACAAATATTTGTGTAAATTCGTATGACTTTAATTTGTACCCTAAAACAATATATTATAGATTAATTAATTATAATAGGTAGATTGAAGCTTAGGCATAGCAACCTATTACGTAGATTACAAAACAAAAATTAACTGATTTCTAAAGCCATTTAAGCATATTTTCTCTGGTCTATTTATAGGACGGTACCACGCCTCTTATTCTAGCCGCAGCTGGCGGTCATATCCACTGCGTTCTCGAGCTCCTCGAGCAGGGAGCTGATCTCAACGCGCGCCGCTCCACTGGCACCACCGCTCTCTTCTTTGCCGCCCAGGGCGGGCACTTGGACGTGGTGCGCATTTTGCTGAAAGCGCGCGCAAAGGTTGATACGCCCTCGCTGGACGGAGGCACGCCCCTGTTTGTAGCTGCCCAAGGCGGACATGTGAAGATCATCAGAGAGCTGTTGGACTGTGGCGCGGATGTGAATGCCAGCATGAAGGTGCGACTGTTTCAACTGGGCTCGCAGCGCGTAAATTTTAATAAATTGTTTGTTTTCCCTTCTATTCAGGATCGTGCTACGCCCGCGTTTATTGCTGCGCAGAATGGGCATCGAACAGTGTTGTCGCTGCTGATCCTGGCCCACGCCTCGACGGACATCAAGCGCATCGATGGAGCCACCCCACTGTGGATAGCGGCCCAAATGGGGCACGATCACATATGCAAGGTGCTGCTGCAGAACGGAGCGAATATCGACACAGTGCGCTGTGACGGTGCCACGCCTCTGTTTAAGGCCGCCCATAAGGGACACGCCTCGGTGATCACAGTGCTGCTCAAGTATCGCCCGAATCTGGGCTTATTGCCCAATGGGGAATCTGCTCTGCATGCGGCTGCGATGTTTGGTCACATGACCGTCTGCAAGCAACTCGTGGCAGCCGGAAGCGATGTCCTGCTCAAAAATCAGGACGGATTAACGGCCATGGAGTTGGCGCATCATGAGAACTATGGCTCCATCTGTGAATATCTGAAGGAGCGAATGCGGGCGGTAATGGAACGTAATACCTTGGCTATGGCCCAGATGCGTTTGTCAACGTAAAGGCCAGCCCATATAGAAATATACATACACAAGTATATACTACTATATATGACCAAATCGAATCCCTTCAAAGTACCTTTTCTGCACAATACGTTGGATTATTTACTCACTTAAACTATGATTAGAACATATGATGAAACAGCAAAGTTCTCTCGATTGCCACGGAGTTCGATGAATATGCTGAATATAGATTCAGATTCAACCACTGATATACACTGTATATCCTTTTTCCTTTGCATATGACAGTCACAGTATCTAAGAGCTATTACATGTAAAATAATAATATCGGTCTGCCTATCTGGCTATCTGAATATATGATATGCGATTTATGCAGACTTTCATTAATTTTTGTACATATGTTAAATGCAGAACAATTTAATTTATTACTGCTGCAAAAGCGTTTGATATCAATTCACAAAACTACACTTTTATGCATATCTCTGAGAACGTTTAGTTTACTTTTGTCTATACTATAGTTAAGATATTTGAGTTGAACGAATAGTTCTACATATTAAAATATTTAAATTAATTAAATTCTTCAAGCTTTGAATCTGATCAAGCGAGGCTTAGTAAAGCTAGATAGGCCTACATCTTATAGAAAAAAAAAAAAAACAAAATGTAAAAATGTAATTCAAACCGATCCATTAAAATATAATCATTCAGAAAAAATTATTTATCTATATATATGCATGAATGTATATCTATTTAAAATTGATACCTCCGTGGCAAAATAAACAGTTTCATCTTGTTGTGCGATCAAACTAGAGAAAAGTATAAACAAGTAATGGTAATGGTAATGGTAAAAAATAGAAAAATGTGGCCAAGCTAAGCGAGGGCAAAATCACCGATTACATATACATAAATAAATACCCAGATATTATATCATTATAATATACGTATTTATCTATACAACTACTTGGAGCTTGTATTTGAATTTACGATTACGATTAATTCTAGTAAATAGCTCATATATATATATATATATATATATATGAAAAACTGTTAACATGGACCGCATCGTCCTTTGTATATAAATATATATTTAATACATTGAAATTATATATTTATGCATTCATGTAACCCTAAGCAATTGTTAACAAGTGCTTTATGTTTATTCGCCTTTTTGTCTTATCCTAATTAGCTATATTTGTATACATATATATATATTTTGACTTAATTAGCTAATAATTAGAATGAAATGATTATGTCGATTTTTCCCTACTGATTTATGCTCGTGTACATTAAATGGCAAATTATCACAAATTAAACATAAATATAATAACCACTTTGAAATTTGGCGGCAAATTCAATAACATTCTGTTATTCACTTAACGAAATGTTGTCTTAACGAAACTGTTCGTTAAGCTGCTTCTGTTAAAGTCAGCAGATGCATGCACCCACGCTTAGTACAGACACAGCTACCGAAAGGGGCTGTGGGTTTGCGCGCGCTTTCTTTACAATATAGAAGTGATTCGCGTCTTATATTAACAAATAAAGTAATTAATACGTAACTTTCTTCTAATTCAATTACAATTAGCTTATGTGCAATACAACGCAATAATATAATCAATTACAGTGTGTACCGACTACTTATTTTATTCGTTTGTGTTCAGTTTTATTTCCATTGTATGATCAAGTTAGTGTTATATCCATTGTGCAATTATCTACATACATGCATACATCCATACATACATACATATGTGCAAGCATTGCAGGGAGTTGTAAGAGGGCTGCTTTAAGAGTTTTGTATTCGGTACGAAGAGCGAATGTTGCAGAATTTGTTGTTGGTTAATTTGTTGGAACATGTTGCCAATGCTGAAGAGTCTCAAACGGACTGTAAACGGATTTTAGTGCTCAGTTCGCTTTTTCTCACAATAGCGCGCGGACGTGGGGCCCGTCGTGTTGGCTCTCGTGTCACTTTTCCCGTTTCATGTTAGTATGTGTGTGTAGGTCCAAGCGAGCGCGTGCGTGCGTATGTGAATTGCGTTTGTGTAGGTGTAGTCGCGTGTCGTTGAATTATACAAAAGCAGCAGAGGCAGTAGAAACAACAATAGCACTACAAACGGTAGCGGCAGCTCCAAAAGCAAAAGCGGCGAAGCAGCAGCAGCAACATAATCAAAAAACAACAAAAAACAAAAAAAATGTTTTGAAACGGAACATTTTTGGTGGCAAGTGTTCTCAGTGTGGCAGGCGGGCGGCGAAAACAGGTTTGCACTGTGGTATGCGAGCGCAAGAAGAAGAGCGTGAGCGATAGAGGGAGAGAGAATGAAAGAACGTTCTCTAAGAGAGCGAACTTTTTGCGAAAATTGATAGCATATAGCGTTGACTTGAAGAGTGAAGTGAGAGGAGCGGGAGGAGGAGAACGTAAAAACATTTGCTACTTATGTTGTGCATCCTTTGGCAAGGTCTTTCGCAGACGTACGCGCTTGATGGTTTCGCCACGCTGTACGTTGCTGCTGCGAACCAGTTTTCATTGCGTTTGTTTTACATATTTTCGATTTGTTGCAATCAATTGGAAAAACCGTTGGCCTAGAAGACCGTTACTTCTGGGTTGCCAAGCTAAATAGAAATTCCAGGCCAGAATCAATCAGTGTGCTCCCTCTTTTCCATTCCCTATTACCCTGCACAAAACAGCTGAGCTTTTGCAGTCGAGCCCCTAGCAACAGCGCAGCTGAAGCTTCTCAGCTGTGCAGCCGCAGCGCAGGCGCCAGCACACACACACGCATACATACAGACATGTACTTCGAATTCGACCAGTAATTGCATTGCTGCTATCTCTCTCACGCATACATCGCTGTATGTGCAGTAATACATGCCGGAAAACATTTTTGTATTCTGTTTTGCAGTCACTGTCGACGGTTTCGCTGCCGCTGCCGCTGCCGCTGCTTCTGCCTCTGCCTCTGCTGCCGTCACTGCTACTGGAAGCTTTACATAAGTTGACATTTTGCCAACGTTTTTAGAGCTTGGCTGCAGGTCCTTTGCACAAGTTCTAGTAACGCGCTGCGCAATCAGCTGCTGCTACACCGCTTCAGTCCACTGTCGACGTCACTTGCAACCAGACGTTGACGTTTTTTGCAACTTGTTTCGCGTATGTTTTTTCGTTGCGTTTTCGTTTTATTTGAAACCGGCTCAACAAAGGTTTGACAGCGTCTCTGCTGCTTCTGCTATTTTTCAGCTGTTTCGCAAAGAGAAAATGAAAAAAAAAAGCAAGTATAAAATTAAATAGAAGAAGAAGAAGCAGAAAGTTAGAGACAAGCAAAGGTTCTCGACTTTGCAATTCTCTGTATTCCGTATAACATTTGTAAATAGTTGAGAAAAAGCTCGATTTGATCCCTGAAATCTTCTTGATTTGATTATCTCGAAGTTAATTCTATTATCTTGATTGATCAAAGAGAATTTTCAACGTAGTAATTAACACACTGGAAATGGAAACGGTAAACGGATAATGGAAATAAAATAAATACAGAAACCGTTGTTCATATTCAAGTGTTCCAATTAGAATTTCAAACTGCCACTTGTTCAAAGTATTGATGTCTTCTAAGGTGCATATCCGAAAACTTATCCACCCGATTGTCTCTTTGCGTACAGAGCATAGTCCAACCTAGAGCCAAGTGGTTTCACTACTTTGGTACATTACATTTCAATTTGTAGACGTTTTTTTCCGCTTTATTTCACTTAACTATTTGCCGCTTGGCTCTTTATTTTTTGCTGTTTGTCAGTGCGTGGGGGCCTTTCGAAAAGCTTAAAGAAAATTTGATTTATAGCGCACCCGCAGCCAAACCCGCGAGCAAATGACGCTTAGCCTCCAGTCAAAAATAAAAAACGAAATAAAAAAAAGTGTCAGTAAATCAATAGAAATAATAGTACTAAAAAAAAGTAAATAAACAATGCAGCTAAAGTGGTAAACTAAAAGCCGTTACTTTGACTAGCAAAACAATCCAAAACTAAAATACAAAAAAAAAAAAAAAGAAAAAATGTGAATGTAGACGAATTGCAGAACTTAAAGCCAGCTGCTGCACAAGTACAAAAAAAAAATGGCCGCCAGGATGTACAGCAACAACAACTTCTAGCAGCAGCCGCACACACAACTACGCAAACACAAACACACACACACACACATGTGATGCACACGTACAGATGCAGAAGCACACGCAACACGAGCGCAGACAGACGGCATTTAAGGTAAGTCGTAAAATCTTCGCTCGCAATTGGGATCCAGTGTTGGTTAATTGCCTCGAACAGAGACTAATTTAAATACCCTGTATGTTATATATCTTCGAAGTTGCCATTCGGATGTTGATTGGATTGCATTATTAAAGCGATATTTAACTGATCGATTATGGATTATATATGAATATTCGAGTCACAAACTTAAACGTGCCATAATGGAATTATTTCTGAATTTGATATTTGAGTGCAAACCAGCTATCCATTGGCATGCTCGTGCTCGAGTTAACTTCGTAAATATTTGTACAATTATTATTATAATTATTTTGCTTATTGAGCTACTTTTGGTCTACTACCTAATTATTATTCATATCATTAAAGAGAAATGTGTCGCTGCATGATTTTATCGACGCGTGGCCGTGTTGGTTAATTTCTAAAATATATTTCATATTTGTATTTGCACCAATAATCAAACCTAATATTATGGCGCATCTGAATTACAAACTATTTTGAAATTAATGTGCTAGTGCTGGTTAATTCTTCTTCTTTGTGTGTTGTAAAATATCCATGCATTCTATTAATTATCACGAGCCAATTAAGCCAACAACAGTCTACAATTTCCCTAAAATATCCTTGCCGGGCTAACGACCTGTTTTCAACTCAACTTTAACTTTGTTATCCCTCAATTATTTAACGAGTGTCAAAACAGGAATACGTTTTCTACAGCTCAGTTTCGTGCTATTTCTCTGTTGTCATTCTGTGAGTCGCATGATGAATTACTTTGGCGTCTTTAATCAATCTTTCAGTCGATGTGAAGAACTTTTAGAAGCTTTTGCCAGACGAAAAATCCGGCATTGGGTGTGTTTGAGGGTTAGAAAAATCGAAATTAGAAATATTATTTCTTGTTGAGATAGGTAATAATTTATCCCTGTCTAGCCTAAAGTAATGTTAACTAGATATCTGTTGTATATCAATTGAAAAAAATATATGCATTTTTGTTAAAAAATAAATAAGGATCTGTAATTGCCATTGAGAAAAAAACTGCTCAGAGAAAATGAATAAGGATGTCCAGGGTATGTGCAGGTCACTCATTCGTTTGTGGCGTGCCACTTGTTTTTCTTCAGAGCATCGCACAACTTTAACAATTGAGTGTTGTGCATTTTTGTGTTATTTTTTATCGGTTTAAATTTTTCTTTTCTTTTTTTTGCGTTTGCGTTTTTTCGCGAATTTTTTTACGACTATTCGGCTGGGGTTCAACAGCGAAGTGAGGGCAAATTGTGGCCAACAGCGACCGCGGGCTTCAAAAGCCCGTCAAACCAGTCGCCAGCCATTTGGCTTTTGCCTAGCCCAGCCGGACAGACGGATGACCGGACCAGGGGACTGGCGCGGGGGTACGCTATCTCGGGCTATCGGGCTGGCCAACTGGCTGACTGACTGGCCGACTGGGCCGTTGATGACTTTTTACATAGCCAAAGAAGCGATGGCCCAAACCAAGACCCTAAACCAAAACCAAACAAGCAAGCGTGCGTTCATTGAGAATGCTAGACTGTCAGATGCTCTGTAAATAATATCTGCTATGGATAGATTAATCTCGTATATACATTTATCTATTGCTTAAGGGGAAAATGAAGATATTTTCAAGCTTTTCAAGTTTTTCAGAAGATCTTTACATCTTATCATTCCATTCCATTCCATTTGATTTACATAATTTTTCGAGTTGAACACTTAAAGCTTTTATGCATCAAACTATCTTCGTATAATCATTTCCACAAAATCAGCATGCCCCATTCACGCACTCATTTGCAATGGGTATGGGATATAAAAAAGATACGAGCGCCGCACGTATCTAAACTTGTTTCAAACGTGTTACATTTAAGAACGTTCGCCGCTAGCGGCAAGTGGCAATAATCCTTTCAAACTGACAGTGTTGCCATGTCGCAGCAGTTGAAGAAGAGGACGAAGCTGAAAAAGAAGAAGCAGCAACAGCAACGGCATCGGCAGTGGCAGTAGAAGGGCTGTCAAGTGGGTGTGGCACATTGACTGAGTTTTGCTTTAGTTCGCACAGCATATGTGTAAATTTTGAACGAGAGGCGTTTCGTAAGTTCATTGACACACTATGAAAATAAAACATGACATGTAACAGTAAATAAAACTGTGTTAGGCATGAGATAAACTAACCTAAAACCCATTCTTTATTTATGAAACACGTTTTTCAGACAAAATATGTATATGTATATTTAGATTCCCCATTGTTTCAATAAATGACAAGCGGAGGAGCGAATAATAAATAAAAAAGCTTTTGAAAATCCATTGATGTTTTAAGATAAAACTTGTGTCTAAGATGATTTGGCAGATATGTTCTTAAAATTACTCGCAGTTTGTACGCTCCAATCACTTCTATAGTTAAGCTAAAATATATTCAATACACATAAGGCTTCATATTTTCTTAAAACTTCCCAAAATAATTGATAAACATTCAGTACTTAATTTAGAGAATACAAGTTTCTATTTAATTTTAGAAACATCTTGATATTCTTTTCTATTTCTTAAAATGAGAAATAAATATAATTTCCATTAAAACTTTTGAAGCACCCTTCTGCCGTGGGTCTATCCTGTCCATATGCTGTCTGTCATTGTCTGGTTCGAGCACGCAGACATTTTGATTGCCTGTTGTCTGTTTTGTATACCCTAGACACATTGTCAATTCGAATTATGGGTATAATGCTTTTATTAAAACGTATGTAATAAAGACAGAGAAAGACAGAGAAAACCGTGATCCAAGTATATATATTCACTTTTTTTGTCATATTGTTAAAGTGATTTAAGTAATTTTCGATTTATATTGTGTTTTTTTTAGTTTTTCAGATTTTTATTTTTTACAGTTTCATACCTTAGTTGAAAATGATTTTATGTTAAAACATTTTTAAGTCTTTTGTGTACGAAAAATTCGTGCTATCAGTGAGTCGATCAGTCCCGGCGCTAGGGGTTCTATTCGTTTATCGTGTGTTATCATTTATTTTCGAGTGCAGTTAAGATCTGCCGATATGGCAAAATATGCATATATATACATATACATATATATAATAATTTTATTTTTACTCATTTTCATTCTCGTTTTTCCAAACACAAATGAAAAATGGAAAAATAGATGCAAAAAGTGAAATTGATATTTTAGCTCAAATTGTCGTTAACAAATCAGCCTAGCAACAAATATTCTAGCTCCCAACACCTCAAATACAAGCCCTACTCCATCCCCCACTCGCTAGCCAGGTGAACGGGAAATTGTTTACCGTGGTTCCAAAATGATGTAATTTCGCGTGCTCGTGCAATTCAATTTCCTGCTAGCGGAAACGCGCGTCGCTCTCTGCTCACCCCAATGCAAAAAAATAAAAAATAAAAAAATAAACATCGGCACCTCTATCCCTCCCTTAACAAAACAAGACAGAAGCATCGAGCACCCTCGAGCAGTGAAAAGCAGTGTTCAAATTGTTTGGCAGTTCTTCCTCAGTGCGCTCCAACTTTAATTGTGCCCCGCTCAGTGCCAAAAAATAATCGAGAAAAAAAAGGAACAGAGAAGCATACAAAATAACATGAAATAATAAATAAATAAGAAATCAATTCTGTAAAATTCGCTATCTAAACAGCTTATCCGTTTTGCCCATCTGCCTTCAGACGGAAGGGGGCGGGGCTTTCAATAAAATGTATCACATATCATTTGTGCGCCGGTTACATGAGCCAAGAGCTGCCCGACTTTGGCATAGGCTTTGTCAGCCGGTTGCATTGTCGGATATGTGATGTGTGAAGGAATTTGTACTCAATAAACTTTTAATCTCAATTTGTTGTTTATATGTATGTATGCCAAACTCACCTTGGTGTCAATTAAAATTACCTAATAGTCCCAAAATAAATATTTAAATAAAATCAGTGTTCTGGGCAAATTCTAATTATACTAGAAGTTTAATGTTTATTCTCCATTACTTCGATCTGAATCAAATCGGGAGAGAAGAGTTCGTATATAATTCAGTTTTCTTATATAATACATTATACATACTATTCCTCTCAGTTAACCCATTTAATATGAGTTATAATATATCAAACATTTATTTATTAGATAATAGAATTAATAAAAAATATAGTCTAACTGCCAAGTAGGTCCAGTTGATGTATTAATCATAATATATCATATCATAATACATGTTGATATATTAATCATAATATATAATCATATATAATAGAGAGCGTTGAGAATATATACTAGAATATTATTCCTCCTGCATTTCAGTGTATTATAAATGTGACTATATGATTCCCAAGTGAATTTACTTTATGATGTGCCCTCCATGGTCACTATTTTGGTATGATCGTAGAAACTATATTGCTCATGCGCCTGCCAATGTCACTTTGGGCCATAAAAGAACAAAAAAAACGCAGATAACATATAAAAACGGTCAGAGAGCGTAAAGATTTAATTCCCAGTCACAATCTCCACGTTCACCTGCGCCATTTAGTGTCGGCTCGGCTCTGAGAAGGTTCAGTTTTATAACTTTCATAGTGTATATTATGTGCGGTGTTTGCGTTGTACTTCCATGCTGTGTGTGGAGTGTCGAATTTTCAAAATGTTTGGCATATTTCGCATAAATAAATTACATTCAAAGCTGGTGCTCTGGCCAGGCAGGCCAGGAAGCCCAGCCAGCCCAGCACAGCCCAGCACAAAGTCGAGGCTCGACTCCGGCTGTCCGAGCAGCCTATATTAACAATAATTCCTTAGTGCTTGGCATCTTGCCAAAAAGTTTTTGTATTTTGTTAGCCCACACAGCAGGCGACGAACGTTTTGTGGCCAATTTCGGCTGCAAACGGGGAGCTGTGGCATGTGCCATGGACGCCGTTTTGTGACCCATTGTCAGTTGAAGTTAAATGCGACGCCTGACACAAAAACCAAAATAAACTGCAAAGAAGCAAAAAATATATATGTATAGCAGGCATTGCTGCTGGCAAAGGACAACGCACAACTTACGATGCGCATTGGACAATGAACACCACAATTCCGGCCCGGGTCGGACCGGACCGGACCGGACTGCGGACTCTTCAGTTCCAAACGTGATGTTTGTCAACCATTCGAAATGCTACGGCATTGCAACTGCCCTGAGTACTGGGAACCGAAAAGCAAAGCCGACTTTGAACTCCGAAAGAGTTCTTTGTCAGCTATATGTAAAAGATGATGCCCAGAGTTCACTAAATTAAATGATTGTTTGTGGTAGCTGCCTCGACTTTGCTCGAGAGCTGTCAGCGATAAATGTGAAGGATTCCCTTCATATAGCAGTTGTTACTTTGATCAACGTTAACTTTCATTGTACTGTCATTGTTCATAATATTTTTAGTTTATTTTTAACAAGAGTTCCACAACTTTGTGATGCTCATCTGCTTTAAAGGTAACAAATGAATCCAAAATCTATTCGCTTAAAGATCAGTTTGTCAGAGCTTTCACCTGATGAGCTTCGTTTCTATATCCATATATTATTTAATAAAACTGGTGATTACATATGAGTATCCTTCGTAATTAGTAAAGATTTGTTTAATGTATTCTATATAAGCTATATGTCTTTATGAAATATATATGTATAACCTTTTATCCGTTTATTATTTTAAAATGAAAGTACGAAGGATAAAATCGGAATCGATTGAGCCAGATCAATATATGTATATTTGTCGATTCTCAAACAATCTTTATAGTCATATGTGTGTACATGTATATCTATGCAAACGACTCATTTTAAACTAATCTCTAGCACAAAGAACTCTTAGATATTTGATTTCCAAATCAAAATGGAGCCTGCTTTCGTTTTTAATAGTATTTCAAACGTATGTGGGAGAAAAATACGCGACCAATACTCTAGGGGAGTTTTTAAAACATAATATAAAATGATAATTTGCACGTTTGACGCGCCTTGAGTAGATGAATCGGACTTATAGAAAATGCTGCCGCTGACTGTTGTAGATGTAATAATAGCCGCCATTGAAACGCAGTGTGACCATATTGCCGGCCGTTGCCGCGGAATCGCCGGAGTCAATGGGACTGGGCCGCAACGACTGCGTCAGATTAATGGTGCGATAGAAGAACGCGGTCAGAAAGCTGGCACTTATCACAAAGGCTATGAAGAAGCCCAGACAAAATACGCAATCCTTGTTCACCTGCAGGCACAGGCAGAAGGCACCAGCAAAGTCGCCCAGGGTATGCCCGATCCGGCCGAGCAGCGTGTTGGGCCGCGGACGTGCTGCATACGCCGAGGTGGTATTCGCGCTAATTGTGATTGTGTGATATCTGCGCTCGCATGGAGCGGCTGTGGCTGTGGCTGTGGCTGTGGCTGCGGGTGCGGGTGCGGTGGTATCTGAATGAGATTGCTGTTGCTGCTGCGATTGTTGTTGTGGTTGTCGCTGCTGCTGCTGCTGTAGCTGTTGCTGTTGCTGTTGCTGTTGCAGCTGAATGCCTCTGGCATTGATCTTGGGTCTGATTGTGCTGGTGACATCCACTCGCAGGCTATTCAGGGGCAGCGTCTGCGTGCCCAGCTCACAGTTCTGAGTCAATTGTAACTCCGTGCAGGTGCAAGTCTCGCCGCGACTCACGCTCAGCACGTGTTCCTCCAAATTGCGGGTGTAGCAGTCGAGTAGTCGCAGAATGTGCTGCAAGCGCGCATCGGTCGACTGCGCTGAACTGGCAGTTGCTGCTTCAACTGCTGCTCCTGCTGCTCCTGCTGCTGCTGTTGCCTGCTCCAGTTGCGCTACTTTGCCGGCGTCCTCTGCATCCTTTTCCGTTTCGCTAGCGGGCAGCATATAGTCAATCATATCCTTGACCAGAGCCTTGGCCTCGTCTAGCTGCTGCCAGTCAAAGTTTACAAATCTCGGCTCCACTAGGACTCCTTCCTCCAGGTCCAGTTCCAGTTCCAGCTGCAACTGTTGCTGCTGTGGCTGTTGCGACTGCAGAGTCTGTTGCGGTCGCTGCTGTTGCTGCTGCAGCTCGTCCGTCTCCGTTTCGTTCAAGTTCGCATCGGGCAGCTGCACGTGCGTTTCCCGCTGCTTTTTGTTGTCTCTGTCCATTGTTAATTTTGGCTTAGGTTTTTTTTTTTTTTTATTTTTTGTTGCTAGAGCTCAAACCAAATTCATTTTCTATATTTTTGACAGTTCAACAGGGATGCTTCATTTATTTATATTTTGTTTTAATATGTTAGTTTTGATTTCAAAGTTTTTGTAAAAAATTCGAAATTTTATTGCTTCATGGCCTTTAGAGCGGCAAGTAGTGCCATCGTCATAGACAGCCTGATAGCTGAGTTAGTTCAGGAGGTTATTAGCGATCGGCGTTTATTGACGAAGGATTCCAATCATATTCAAATGGGGCCATGCCAAAAGCTCTTTGAGGTTTTGGGTATAACACAATGCGGCCGACAGGGCGCCGATGACAATCTCAAGATACAAGCAGCTCACTTGGAGAACAAGATGGCGCTCGAGAGCACAGCTGCTACAGCTCCGATGGATCCCTTAACCGGCTTTCCGGCCAACGAACCAAATCGGAAATGGCACAGTTGGCTAGAACAGGCCCTGGCTGCAGGTAATCCCTAGACTTATCGTAATTCAACCCTCCAGTTACTAAAGTCGCAGATAAATAAATTTCCTTATCGAGGAAAACCATATCTCCTAGGCGCTTAAGTAAATAGTTCTAGAGCTTTACTCTTGCTGCTCATCCGTTAAACCTAAACTGAATTGTATAACTGTCCCTTAACCACGTATCAGAATTCGTTCGTAGCTGAATACATCGTTTATATTATCTGTCTTAGCGTAAACATGTTTTCTTTTTGAATCACCGCAGATAGTGAGAAACTTTCACCTAAACAAAGATCAGAACTAGAACTCAATCATGACTTAGTCCGTTCCGCCAGCTGCTTTGATGATCAACTATTTTCCGCAGATTGCTCGGAGGATGAGTTGGAAATTTATCGCAAGCAACAAAAGGCCATCAAGGAGTGTACGCATATCGCCATTCAAACGGAACAGCCGCGTATGCGGAAGCGTAATCAGGTGCCGATAGAAACGTTCGGGGATCGACAAATGCGTGGCGCTCCAGCAGCACCTTGTGAAATGAGTCGCCAGACAATATACATTGATACGATGTCCACGCCAGCGCCCAGCATGCAGACCCGTCCCCCCCTGGCCGACCGGTTCTGCTATATGTTGACCGATTTCGCATCGGCCCTGTACTGTAGTCTTGCCATCATGTGTTGTTGTACCCCCAGTATGTTTCGATAAATATGGGTGGTGTTTAACCAATTTGTAATTTTTCATTTAAAATTCATTTGAGTTATCGAGCAACAGTTCCAGAAACAGACGAATGAGCTTATGAAAAAGCGTCATGCTGTTCAGTTCTTCTTTCCCAGAATAATAGCTACAGATCTTACATCTGACGAAATTAATTGATCTGTAACAGTAAGCTGAAAATAAATCTTTATTTTGAAAAAATCCTTATCACGACAAATATGCAGTAAACAACCATCATCTACGGGAATCACCAGATTTTCTTAGCGGCATTCTCACAAGTCCATTAATTGAATTTTCGAAAAACCGATGACTTAAAGAAGGTATCTACTCCTTAAATCATCGATCTATCTTTTCAATTTCATTTTAACTATAGATAAATAATTAAGAGAACGTTTCATCGGTCAAGTGGGGGCAAAGGCGAGCGCCTATGAGTGGATACGACTGAGCGGGTGCTTCACAGTCGTCTGCTGGCCCATGTTGCCCTCGAGGAAGCTGTAGTAGTGGGCGATGATCAGATACAGACACCAGAGGCAGAGCAGGACGAAGAGCACATAGGTGAAGTTCTCGCCCATCATGGCCAAGCAAGCGATCAGCGTTTGACCCGCTTCATACAACACTTGCCACAGACGTTGACGCAGTGGAGCGCGCTGCAGGGCGGTCGCCGAGTTAATCGACTCTACTTCGATGTGCAGGGTATGTGACTGAGTTTGCAGAAGCTGTTGCTCATGCGGCTGCTGCGGCTCCTTTTTCTCGAGCTTCTCTATTTTTTGTGGCTTGAGCAGCTTCTCCTGCTCGATGGGATCCGACCAATGAGTCTGGCTGGCCATCTCGCAGAAGAACTTGGGTCGTGTGCAGCGCAGCGTGGACTCGGACAGCTGCATGCGGTTAAGACTGACGCTCGTCTTCACCTGATCACTGCAATCACCTGGAAAAGAGAGTTTTTCATATTTCACATGATGATAATTGTAAAAATGTCAATATAGAATCAAATCAAATATTAGAGGAACATCTAAAATAATGATAAGCCTATGCTAATAAGTCTTTAGATCGTTTTCAGATCTGAGGTAGACTATTGCTAATAATATATCACCATCGATATTGATCGATTTATTTAACCTATATAACTATAACTGATCTTAAAGTTAGCCGGCACTTCCCCGGTTTCTCGCACTTACTGTCCTCCGGCTGGAAATGTGTCGTTGTGAACTGTTCGGACTGTGTGCGCATCAGCTTCGGCTGCGTTGCCTGCTCACTCTCCTTCATGATCTTCGAGTAGTCCTCGAAAAGATTGAGCAGCTCTACAAACCGATCCGTAATCTGCTTGTGGCTCACTTGCACCTCGGTCAGAAAAGTGGACGCCGCTTGCATCGCGCCAGTTGAAGGAGGCCGAACAGTGGGTGCTGTGGATTGTGGATCTGCGCTGGTTACTTTTAGGTTCCAGCCAATGTTCTTTGGATTGGCAATGTTCTTTGGTGTGGCCGGGCCACACTCATTGACCCCTAGATCGAGAGGCACTGCCGTCCCATTGTCGGGATTCTCGTTCGCCTGGGTGTTCATTTTGTTTGGTTTTGAGAGGATCTGCGCGACTTGGGGAGTTTCTCCTCCGTTGGTTGCTATTCCTGTTGCTGCTATTCTTGTTGTGTGGTGTGTGTGTGTATTGGGTTAATTTCGTTTAGAATTTGTAAGTGTCTTTATACATATTTATTGTATATCTCGTATTTTGACTGTCATTTCGAATATTTACCCAGAGTCGGTGTCAAATTGTCAACCCCAAGTTCAGCTTCGGTTTCGTCTACTGGATAATTCTCTGTGTCTGTGCACTAAATTAAGCAATTTTGTGAAAGCGTCTGCTGAACTCTACTGCAGCCAACACCCCCAGTCCTGCCTGACCATTATCCAGGCCGCTCTGACCATTGTCCAGGCTAGCCCCGTCCTCTCTATAATATGACAATTATAACGGTCTGCTGCACGTATATTGCATTATTTTGCATAAATGCATTTTGCTTCAATTCTCTTTCCAGGCTAAGCATTGTTTGGGGTTTGTTGAATTTCCAACATTATTCATGCGATGGGCTTCACCCGTTTTCAAATCTATTTCAGAGATTGAAGTATATTACAGCCCCTAATATATAGTGGATTCATTTATTTTATATAATGCAATATGTATTATACCAGCTTAAGCAGCGTGAATATTTTCTTCAATGTCTTAATTAATTTTTGATCTTAAATTTTAATTGTGTAATTTTTTGTTGATTAATTTTTTACGATTTTCATGTGAAATATTTCCGCCAGTTGGCATGTTGATTTAGGTTTCAGAGAAGTCATAAAACTCTAACTTATTCATTGAATGCCTCCATTGGGAGAGCTCAACAGGAAGCATTTGGTATTCGTTTTATGCCTCAAAGCTCCGTCCACTTGCTTGGCTGCACCTGCCACTACTGGCGGCAGTCACTGTGGCAAGTCTGTACTCCGCAGCCTTTGGCCATTGATAATGCTTAAAGGGCTTAAGCGCGCCGAAGATTTATATTGGCAAAAATCTACGTTTCGGTGCGGAGGCAGCAGCCGCAGCAGAGACAGCAACAAACATAAAAGAAAATACAATTTATTGATTTTTCCGCACATAGTACATTACGTGTGTGGGCGTGTGTGTGACTGTTTGAGAAGGTAAAGGTGTTGGTGAGTTTGTGTGCTCAGTGTGTTGTGTGCTCATCGATGTTGTAGCAACGCCTGCGCCCGTTTCATCTGCCTCTGCGTGTTCGTCCATGAAGTGTTGAAGCAAAACAACTCAACAGGCCTGGGGCATGTCCCTTGTTGATCAATTTAAGTTTTATATTTCACACTTACCGTTTTTTTATGAAAAATATTATTGATTATTCTTATCTTCAGTTAAGATTTCATTAATATCTATATTTTGGCTACCTCAGTTATTTAGGATATACTTGCATTATATGACGAATAAACGACAATTAAATAATAAGGACACGGCTATATTAGAAAGAATGATTTATATGTGACCAATTATACCTGAACTATCTGGCTATATTAGCTGTTTAAATGGGCAATTTCGCTTTATATCAAACTCAATTGGGCAAGAGGAGAAACTTGTTGCCTAAACACTGTTAAAAATATATTTAAGTCGCATTTGGCTCGTTAATTTATGAGGTGTTGCCTGATTATTCTCTCGACTGGCTACATAAATATGTATACATATATGTATATGCCTTAAAGCCAGCGCTTCGTTGCCAAAATTTTTCGAGCTGCTGCCCCAGTAGACTCTAAATCAGCTCTATCTGCTGTGCTACTTCTACTCCCACTCCCTAACAGCAGGTCATAAATATTGTTTGCTTATGCTGTGCTAGACTATATGTATATATATGAATATAGTATATTTTTGGCTTAATGCTGGCTTGCTTTCCATTGCTCGCCTCGACTCGACCCGCTCGTTTATCATCGCGTGGTGCAACTCGGCGACTGCCCCTGCGGCGGGCCATAAGAGTTTAGCAACTCGCTCAGCATGCATTCAATTAAGTCCTGCCACAAGATTTGGTGCCGATTTCAATCCCGCGCTATCATCATGATGATTGCCACAAGATTTTTGGCAAGCACGCTGCCTCATCAGCCCAAGATTAAGGATGGAGTCATTGCTATTCGCAAAATCATGCAAACAATAATAATGCAATGACTAAATGCATTCAATCTTGACAAACTAAATTAAATTTTTAATACATAGCTCTTAATTTTATTTTGTCATTAGTATTAGTAGCAAAAATAGAAAGTTAAAGCACTATTTAAATGAATCTAAAAACAAGTAAGAAAGCTCTAGTCGAGACTGCTCGACTACGAGATCCCCTGAACCCTACAAGCAACTGATATTTCAAAAATTAATTAGCAAACACACACGCACACACACACACACACGCATACATACAAATACACG